AATAAAGATTCACCGCAAAACCTCGTATTGGCATAGAACACACTGAAATACCGTTAATGGAATGAATTATTGCGGTTCCGCTGTAATTGGAATTGTCTTTGAATCTGTTAATTTCCATCATCAAGCACAGATTTTAGGACAATTCCTATTCCCATTTCAAAAGTTTGTCCGTTTACAATCTCATTAGGGCCTTATGTGTTTTCCAGTTAAAATCAAAATATTCATAATCTCAGCTCGAAGAGATCAAGTGGTTGTAAGCTGCCCTAATATAATATTTTTTATATCATTTGTTGTTAACTTTTGTTAAGGACATGGATCCTGGAACCTCTTCAACGGCGACACGTCCTAGTCGTGGACGTGGGTCTCGCGGTCGTCCGCGAGGATCTAGAGGTTTGTGCAGTAAACATAAAGTCATTAAGACATTTTGATGTTCGAAGAATCCAATTGCGAAGTGAGATTGTTAAAGAAATGAGTTTACGCGGTTTTTTTGAGTTGACTCTCGTGGGAATCGCTCTGCAAGTACGAACTTATCCACGGATGTCAGCAACACGGCACCAAGAGTGTGTGTCTGCGGTATAAATGCCGTACAAAGAACTGTGCTGAAGGAAGGTCCTAACAAGGGAAAGAAATTCTGGTGCTGCTCCAAACCAATGGGACAACCCGATAAGTGCAACTTTTTTGAATGGGTGGTATAGGAGTGTAACTTTGAAGATATTGTTTCATGTATAGTAGATCTCTTGCATTTCTCAGTTAGTAGTTTTTGCGGGTTTTTACATTTTCTGCCAGAATATTCGTGTAATTAAGACGTCTTGTAAATAAAGTCACTGTGCGCAATCCAATCATTAAGAGTAAGTTTTTCGAACCTGAATACTGACAAATATATGAATATGATTATAACGAAGTAATGACAAACAACGTAAGATAGATAGAATGATTGGAAGCTCCGAGTTCTACATGGGCACCTTGTCATCTCTCTTGCTTTTTCTTTTTCATAGCTGTTTAAAGGACTTTGTGTCCCATATGGTGGGGTAATTACATTATGTGGAAGTCAACAAAAAGGCTAAATCTTCAACATAATCTGTCCGTTGGGGCCTTCGGAAGGTCAACGTTAATGTTAGGTTGTCCATGAAAACTTGAAAGAAATTCTATCGTGTTTTTCATTGCATTGGTTTTTTTTCCATATTTTGACTCACTATACTAGCAATTTTGCACCATCGCAACTTTTTCGCGGGTGGTACTTTGGTGGGTTAACGACTCAAGCCAATATTGAGCGGTCAGATTTGATAATAATATTTGCTTAGACGAAGCGTCACTTATCGATGCTAGCGGCATCTAGATAGACTAGGTCTAACGGATAGGGTCAATATAGAATTATTTTTTTGCTCGAAGTTCCCATTTTTAACCCAAGGGAAAAAACTGTTAGAAAAAAAGGAAGCTTTTTTTAGACCTCAATTATTTTAAGCAAATTTTGAAAGATCGTCGCTCTCGCAACAACACTTTAAAATGGGCAATCCCTCCAGCAATCTAGCGGTAGCAGAAAAGTGCCTATGCTCTACCTTTACATTCAAGATAGTTACAGCGAATGTGACCGTGAGCTAGGTAGTAAGAGTTCCTATTGACACAACACTGGTTTTAGCTATGAGATTCGTAGCCTCAGTATTATCGAAAGTTGCCTGAAGCTGCTTTTGTAAACTTGTAGCAGCGAATTGGTATTCTGAGGGGATTTAACTATGTGCTTATAGAATGCCAGTTT